GTGTAGGACGCTCCAGCAAAGCTTTATTTACGCTTTGGCTTTACCTAAAATATTGCACAACAGCGGTCGCGACGGGCGGGAAGAAGGAGCGGGTTCGCGGTGACCTTACTTCGGCGGAGACAGACTTTGACCTAACACTCCGCGGTTACGTTAACAAACTCTTATTTTGTTATCTCCATCGTTTTCTTTTCGCACGGATACACGACCACTTTGGGGTCGCTCACGGAGGAAATGCGTAAACAAAAAAAAGTGTCTTTCCCTCCTTCGTTTCACTTTGTCACGGACGTCCTCCAACTGTAAGGTCCGCGGCCGCGTCATTCGGGTAGGATGAGTGTTCGCGGATGCCAGAGTCCGCGCTGGGGTATTTGAAGGGGTGGGCGATGACTCGGTGTTTTTCCAGAAATCGATATTGGCCCCAAAAATGGGGTGGGCGATGGCTCGGGGATGGGCGATGACTCGGGATATTACGGTATATATTTCTATGGAAGAAATATTACGCAACACGTAAAAAAACATTTTTAGAGACATTTTCAGAAATTATTTACCAACAATCAACTTTGCGCAAAATGTCACAAAAATATATGAAAATGTGCATCTTGATATGAAGCTTACGAATATATAAAAAATATTTGCTTAGCTTTCGTTGTAGTTTTGTTATTAATTCAAAAACATAGGTCATTTCTCTAAAAGTAGCCAAATTGCACGTCAATATTTTAAAAGATCCAGCTTTTATTTCTTTTGAACTTTTCTTAAATCCGTACAATAGCTCGAACTCACTCGTGGCAGAAAAATATTGGGTAGCCCATGAGCTCCAATGGTCATGTGCTGACAACAATGGTCATGTGCTGACAACATGAGTGACAGCAAACCTTCCCTCAAATTGAGTGAGCTTGTCTTCGTTACAGGGGCTTTGCCGCACAAAGTCGACCCCAAAGAGATCTTCTCTAGAACCGGCAAAGTGTGTACAACGGTGCTGCTCTATTGCAGAGCGCAGAAAGTCATCGCAACTTAAAACCGTGGGACTAGGAAGAATAAAAAGACAGCACAAAATCTTAAGGACAGCCGAGTTTATTTGATCACACGAGGCTTGACAGGCTAAATCACTACAAGAGTAGACACGCTTCTGACACCGCCAAGCACCCGCCAAGATAATCTCTGTCGAGACTACAAGAACCGACAAACTTGCTAATCTCAGGGTGTAAGATTATGGCGTTTCCTAAGCAGCTCAGTTGCGTGCAATCCCTTCTCAGAAAGTCATACTGTCCCAAGCTTTGTCTTATCTTTCTGTTTCCTCGCGTTGCCTCCTAAGGGGTGTCGGGGGCAGAGGTCGGCATTTTAGGTCGCCCTCACTCACCCTCACCCTCACAGCCACACTCACCTAAGCCCCTCACTCACCCTCACCCTCACAGCTACACTCACCTTCAGCCCCTCACTCACCCTCACAGTCACACTCACCTTCAGCCCTTCACTCACCCTCACTGAACCTCACGGCCCTCACGTACTCACCGCCCTCACGGCCCTCACGGCCTTCACCGCCCTCACGGCCCTCACGGCCCTCACCGCCCTCACGGCCCTCACGCCCCTCACTCACTCATGGCCCTCACGCCCCTCACCGCCATCACGGCCCTCACGGCCCTCACGCCACTCACCGCCCTCACGGCCCTCACCGCCCTCACCGCCCTCACGCCACTCACGCCACTCACCGCCCTCACGCCACTCACCGCCCTCACGCCACTCACCGCCCTCACGCCACTCACCGCCCTCACGCGCCTCACCGCCCTTGCAGCCCTCACACCCCTCACGGCCCTCACGGCCCTCACTCACCCTCACACTCATGAATTTTCCTGGTTCAGAAACTCACTCACCCTCACCTCACCGTGAAGATGAGAATGAGTGAGGGTGAGTGAGGGCCCTCATGAGTGAGGTTTGCCGAGGTATGGTCGGGGGACGCCACTGCTGCCTGCAGTTGCAAACAGTAGGAATGACACTCGAAACTCCACACACAAGGAAGGTCAGTCACCGCCTAAACAAGGCGAGGGAAGCAAAATCTGGGGGGTCGCTATCTTCATGTTCAACATTGTGAGCTGGAAAACAAACAACATCAGCTTGCTACTTCAAAGTATCAACGTGTAATGTGATGCACAATGAATAAAGATACAAGTTGGTAACCACAAGGACGGTTTTTCGCTGTTTTGGTTTCACCACACTAACCAAACATTTGGAGCCCGGAGGGAGGCATTCAAAAGCTCTCACATTAGCATTTGGAAAGAACATGTAAAAAAAGATTCCCTCGCTTTGTTTCTGGAGTGACTGACCTTCATTGTGCACACACCCGAGTTTCCAGGGAATCTTCCATCCATACTGCTTGCAACAGCAGTGGCATCCGCCGAAATTCCTTAGGATATAAGAGGGAGGGCTTTAGGAGGCAACACGAGAAAAAAGAAATATAAAACAAAGCTCGGGACAGTATGATATTCGGAAAAGTAAATGCACGCAAATGAGCTGGGCAGAAAACATCACGATCTAACAACCTGAGATTAGGAAGTTTGTTGGTTCTGGTAGTCTTGACGGAGATTATCTTGGTGGGTGCTTAGCAACGGATGCCCGTCGTCGGAAACGTGTCTAGAGTTGTAGGGATGTAGCCGGTCAAGCCTCGTCTGGTCAAATCTTCCCAACATCATGTTTTGTTATCCCGATCTTTTTTTGTCTCGGCGTGATCAAATAAACTCGGACGTTCTCCAGATGTTGTGTTACGAGGTCTGTATTTTTATTCTTTCTAGTCCCGTGGTTTTAAGTTATAACGACTTTCTCCAGTCTGCAATAAAGCAGCACCATTGTACTCACTTTGTCGGTTCTAGAGAATATATCCTTGGATCCGACTTTGAGCGGCAAAGCCCCCAGACAAGTGAACTCAGTTTGAGCCAAGGTTTGTCGCCGCTTTTCTCCATTGGAGGTCATGTGCAACCCAATATTAATGCGCATTAACTGTCCCATCGAGCGAACCGGCATTATGAGCTTTTGAAGCCGCACCAAACAGCACCTAAACTCCCGTCTCAATGGCGCAAAGCCCGTCGTCTGTAGCAGCGATTTGACGGATAGGCTCCCATTGGCTGGCACGCATCCTACTTTCCAGGAACGAGGGTCCCATTGGCTGGTGCGCGTCATAGTTGCAAGGAACACCACGGCACTGCGAGCCCGCACCAGTAAAAGGAACACGGCGGCACGCTCGGCTGCCGTGCCGTTGGCTTTTCTCGACACCGACAAACAGGGTATTTATGCTCGCCAAGGTTCTTCTTTGGACGTGACATACGAGAGCCCAACTACCCAGAACACAATTTGCAGCTCCAAATTCCTTTTCTTCTTGCTTGAAAACCGCCAATCGAGGACTGGACGGTTTGAGTCGCGCTCACTCTCTTCTCCATGGTCACATGCTGTTTCATATGGTTTAGACACAACCACCAAAGATAATCAGTCGTGGGTAATCGAAGGCGCACACTCAATACCAGAAATGGACAAAAATGTAATACCCATTTTTTGAGGCTTCCAAGAAACTGCAAATACGTCGATTGAAAAAAAAAAAAAAAGTTGCACAGCCGAGTGACTTTTGGCATCTTTCTCCTCCCCTATTTATCTTCTTGCTTTCCAGTCCAATTTAGGTTTTGGTTTCGAGCAGTTGAATTTTTTTACTTTATTAAAGATATACGTGACATTGTAGCAAACTATTGACTGGGTAGTCTTTCGGCACTACAATACGTTGCCTGGCAAAAAATAAAACAACTTTTTGGGAGTGTCCCTTTAAAGGCTTCCTCCTACAATTTTTGTGTATTGAACAGAGAACAAATTTGTTAATTTAGAAAGTAGACACCCTTCATCTTAGGGACAAGCAACATTTGACAAAGAAAAAGTAATGGTGAACTACCCCCGCACTTCCAGGTGAAGTGAAACAGAATGTATTAAAAATGGTTCCGTTTGCTGGAAGGAGGGCACCGACAGTCCCTGGGTCTTTTACTTCTTTCTTTGCTGTTTGTCGGGTAGCAGGGGTAGCCCGGAAACTTTGCCGGCACTGAGTCTTTCGCCAGAGCAGCTTTACACGAGGCACCTACGAGTACTTGGCTTTGCTAGATGGCTTTCGACAGTTTGCTCACAAACCTTCGTGTCTCTCTCACAGAAAGTCTGTCGGCTGCGGCGGGAGGTTTTGCGAGGGGTCGCGTCGTGCCACGCCTTTCAGCGATCCTCTCCTTTGAGAGGAACAAAAAGCTTCTCCGTTTGCATTTTGCATTCCGCATTGAACCGTGGCACCAAGCACTTCTTTCTTATTGCCGGCCACTTCCGGAAGCCGAAACCGGTCAGGAACAAAATTGTAACCGCGGAAAACTGCGCAGCATTACAACTTGGCTCACGCTACTGCCTGCCAGCACTCGCGAAAAGACGGCCTCGCCGTCAGTGGCGTGCCCTGGCGGCGGGACAGAGATTCATGCGTCCTTCGCTATGACGGCCCTTTGGCGGAGGTGAGGCGTTATGCCACCTCAACTCCTTCTATCCCAGTGCCTCGGACCTCGCGATCGGCCAAACGTTGCGGTCGGGGACCGCAGGGTCGGAGGACGTCTGCATCAAAGAAAAAACGAAGGAGGGCGAGGGAATGCCGGGTCCCCGGGGTTTTCGTAAAAGTGGGCTACCACTCTGTTGTCCGAGCCAGCAATATTTTGCCTAGAAAGCGATTCTGCGACGGGCGACGACTCGGGATATTACGACAGAGTGGCAATAACGAGACCGTCGAGAATTTGCCTCTCCCCCCGTAACATTCCCTTTTGCTTTGCAATGCGGAAGAGCGAGCTGGCAGGACCAGGCACTTGATCGAGCGTGCCAGAAAGCCCTTTTTCTGGCAAAGGTCCCTCGACCGCAGCCAGACCTGGGTGAGCCCAAAGAACTCGGAGGGGAAAGACGTTGTTCGCAACGGGAGGAATTAAGATTTAGAAAAATGCGGAAAGATCCAACGGTACCAGAAGAAAGAGGACGGCGCACTGGGCGTGTGATCCGGCAAAAAACCTGGAGCTGTTCTCCAGACCCAGGCCCGTGGCAATGTGGATGGTGTCCGCTTCCAGCCTGCTGATCACCGTCTGGTGCGAAAGACGACCTGCAAGAGCACCCGGGCCCATCTGGGGAAACGGTTCACATTTCGCATTCCCTCAAGATTGTTATATTTCGTCGCCTAATCGATAGTAGTATGTATGAATCCTTAAAGAGTTTTGTCCACAAAAACAATCTCTAGACACGAAAGATTGTATACCGAGAAAATGTGGACCCCAGTGTGGCACTGCCAGAGTGGGGAGGGACAACGAGTCCAATACTTTTTATAAACTTTATACGAGTAAAAGTTGTTGCAAACAATATTAATCGTACTCCCTCCCTCCCCGAGGGCACGTGAGCGGTCCACATGGGAGGTCACGTGACCCTCCAGAGAAATTTTTCCACTTGAGCGGTGACGGCGACGCCGCTCAAGCTGGAAACAGGCACCTAAGAGCTGCGCTCTAAAAACAAAGACGGTGACTGGGAGAAGACAAGCAGCGGCCAAAGCCAGGGTCGGCCGTGACGCACGGTGACGACCAGAACTTCGAGGGGGGCCAGCCGCTACCAATAGCTCCGGGGGGGGGGGACACCGCCATCCGCATCGTCACGTCAAGCGACAACGCTCCGCAAGACGCCGAGTGCAAAGGCTCAAACTTAAGGCAAGGACGGTAGCAGAAACAGTTTAGTGGAGTGATTTTGGTTCACTATTGCTAATACTTTTCCAACTTTTCGCTTCTGACACATTCCTATCTTCCTTCTTGTAAATATAGAATTTTTTTCAATCCTCTCGTGCATGTCGTTTCTCTCTTTTACCGACTGACAATGACGAATGCTTTACGCGTGCCAATATACTGTATCTACTCGCACAATAAACGCAACCCCCACAACGGGCATCAATATTTTTCCTTTTTTTTTTTCCCTCCCGTAATCAACACACCTCCAATTTTCGGATCCGCGAGTCTCAAATGCATCCAATTTAGCGAGCCACCGAGCCAGTTTTCTTTTGCTGCCAAGCGGTCAAGCCGAGCCAAGCCAGGCCAGGCTGCTCGTGTCACGGTGGCTCGCGTTACGGCCGGCCGCAAGTGCATAGTTGCGGTAGTTACGGAAGCGATCAACCTCCATTGGAAACCGAGTGTCGCGCACACTTGACGAAGCTTGAGCCGAGGAATCACCGAGCCCCGGACATTCTTTGCCTATCGGATGCATCGATGTTAACAAACAAGCCGTTGTCTGTGGTCCGCTTTCGGACAGTAAAATCGTGAAAGTGGTTAGGCCTAAATTCACATACTCCGGGTAAATATGTTCATTTAATCCGCAACAGAACTGCACAGCGAGGTGCACACTGCGTTGTAGGCTGAGGGTGCTTGGTAGCCTCTCCGTGAACCAAACTTGATCCATGCGAGCGGGCTTCGGCGGTCGCGGATTAGACTTGATACGTTCTTATACACGTAGTCGCGGATTATACCTGAGCGTGCCCGCCGGATACTAGCAATATATATTGCCTAAGAACGGTTGTGGTTGTGTTGCTTTTCGTGCTGCGTGAGCTCCGTAGGGCGCTTTTCCATCGGCAAAAGGCACCCGGAAAGCGTCCAAAAAAGGTTAGCAATTTATAAAGCATGGTTATTGTGGCGCACCCCCGACCAGCCATGGGTGTGCCTTCTTCAATGGAGACCTGCCACAGTACCTTGCCGTGTCATATTGGCCCCTAATATGACATTTGCTCAAAGTGTATAAATACAAACATTTTACCCCGTGTAATGAATGCCCCCCCAAATATGTGTCCATTTTTCGGGAAAAAAGTGTGTTCATTATGCGAGTAAATACGGTAGTACAGAAAATATTTTCAAAGCGGCGTACAAAGCAGTTCTTTTACGATGCAGTCATTTAAAAAAAGATCACGCATCCAACGGCCGGTGAGAATTTCTAATTTTGCTATATTTTATGTACTCGCAACCGTATAATATCTAGAATAAGTACCGCAAACAGGAATAAAAGATAGTAGAACACAAAAACATTGTACGCTTGGAAAGGCTTGACCCAAAGCTTTTGCGTGCACTACGACTCGATTCACTTTGGTGACATAACTTATTTCTTTAAAGAACACATGCAAAGGAAAAAAAAACATTTTTTTAAACAGCCTAGATGGAAAAAGAATGTTATATAATGAATTTACAATGAAGAAAAAAAACATTTAGAGCTATATTTACGGTGCAAAATAAATTTGTAGTTAGCGCCCTCATGCAGCGGGTCACGTGGCACACCCGTCTGCCGTCACGTGCCGCCGCTGCCGCCTCAGTTACGCCGCCGCACAATGAGCGTGGTGCGCCGTCGCCGCCATGGGCGCACAAGTTCGTCTGCTCCGCGCCGCCGTCACCTGACCGGTGCACAGGTCGTTCACGTCTGCTTGAGCTTTTTCAGGAGCTTCCTTTGGGCTCTAAAAGTTACTTATTGATCTTCCTTTTTCGTTCCACTTCAAACAAAGATGAGTAAGTAATTTTTAGAGACCAGAGGAACCTTCCGAAAGGGCGCATGCACCATGTGACAAATAGCGGCCAGTCACGCGATAAATAGCAGCCACCATTCCACGGCGTCCGCGGGCACCACCTACAAATTCGTATAGCACCAGAAATAAAGCTCGAAAAATATTTCTTTTTCGCTGTAAATTCATATTACAACTTCCTTCTCCCGACTAGGCTGTTTAAAAAAATGTATTTTTCCTTCGCATATGCCTTTTAACAAACTCCGGGCCAGGTCTGGCGAAGTTTGGTATTCCCGTTAAAAACTGCGCCTCTGACAACACGCTCCGTGTGGCAAGGTCGGAAGCTTCAATTACGACCCAAGCGCATATTTGGAGTACTCGTAGCTTTCTTTTCGTGAAGAAAGGTAACCGTCGAAGGCTGTCTAAAAGCTTACTAAAACTATTCACTGTGGACCCCACAAAACAGTGCCATTTGCAGTCGATTGCTTTAGGTATTTCCTTCTAGCGTTAAACGAGATACAAAATGTCAAGCAAAAGCCACTCGATTTCGTGCAGTGTCTACGAGGAGGATCATTATGCTCGCAGAAACTTAAGACATACTTTGCACTATTTTCATTCTTACTATAAAGCAGTTTTGTCGCGTATACAAATATTTCACGAGACCTTGAAACCTTGCGGACAGTCGCTCGAGGTGCCCCGTTTGGGCGAGTCGGTTCCTTCTGCCAACTCTATGGTACGGCGTGCAAGGCCAGGGACTCTTGGCGGTGCTCGTCTCGTGCTCCAGAGGTGCGTGGCGCAGCGTGGGGGCGGGGCGGACTCACCCGACTGCGTGTTGACCGGCGACTCCAGCAACAGCTCCAGGTACAGCGGAAGGTGCATCCGAAGGTCCTGATGGACGCTGCTCGTGTTCAGGATCACGGAGAGCTGGGAGAAACGAGGAATACGTAAGGAAAGACGCCCCTTTGCCCTCCTAGCGTGGCAAGGGCGGCGCTAAAGCATCACGCGTCAGTGTAGAAGAAACTGGGTAACACGGGAAATGGCACGAAGCGTCCTCGGGTGGGACAAGGGTGTGTACACTCCGGGGACCTCTCGCTCGTACGTGCCATCTGCCGCGGTTTCGGCGTAAATGCCACCTTCTCGGAGTCTGTTGGAGCGCGAGACGGACGGAAACGGAACAACTAGAATGCGGCAGCGCCGAGCGGAGCCTCGGTGTTGGGTCGTGGCAAAGAGCGCCAAACACCCCGACTATACCTCGACCCGTTGCGGCCGAGTGAGTCTGCTTCCTTTTCTCTCGTGCCACTCTTTCTCCGGGGAAGCCCGGAGCGCACTCGTCCCAGGAAGCAGAGTGCTGCCGTACATCCCAACAACCGACGTTTTAACCTTGCCGGGGGCGACGCGGGGGCGCTCGGGGAAGAGGTTCGGCCGGCACCGGTGTCCGACCTATGAGGAGATGAGCGCAGCGTCGGCTGGCAGTCAGTCCGCCCACTTCCGTCGCCGGCGCCTAACCGGATGTGCTTAGGTGCTAGGCACGTAACGCATCCGCGTTAAAGCGAAGACACAACCGCGGTCCCGTTTGAATTCCCTAGGCTATTCAAACCCAAATGTGTCGGATTATTTCATTTTAAACGGCCCAGACATTTCGAACACCCCGGGTTGTTACGATCCGGGCACGCCCGGTTACCTCGAATCAAGAACCCCAGCTACAATCAAGTTACCCGGCTAAGCGGACGAAACATTCTTGCGGGTCGGCCTCTATCTAGACGGCGGCAGCACGTAAGGCGAACGATGCCGTTCCCTCTCGGGCGAGGAAGCGACTCTAGAGGTGTCGGTCGTCTTCGAATCTGTCCCGAAGAATGGCCGTTCGGAATGTCGTCGACGTAGTTTCACTTTCAAGCGTCGTCTCGCGACGCGGCATTGCGCGAAATGGCCTTCGATCGCCACGGCCGGCGCCGAGATGCAACCCGACGGTCGGGGGCGGCCTCCGCGACCCGGCGAGACCCTTGGGGGGCAACAGATGTGCGGGCGCGGACGAACTCACCGAGACGAAGTTGCTCTTGACGTGGTCCAGCTCAAAGCGGTAGGGAATGTCCCGGAGAGAGAAGCTGCCGATGCCCGGAGAGCCATCCAGGTTGCAGGCCCGGGTGAGCCCGTGGAAGCGGATGTCCGACAGCGGGGGCACGTGCATCGACAGGATCATCTCCTTGGGGGGCTCTTTCTGCGAGGCACGTAGGGGCCGAGCAATCATTGAGGCCAAAAGGTCCCGCGCCTTCCGGCCACTTCCATGCGGCCAGGCATAGACGGGGGCGGTCCCAGTGGGCGGTCCCGACGGGCCAGTGTAGCGGGCGACGCCCTTAAAGGGACACTGACACCCACCACAATTTTTTTTTCATTTTTTGCCAGGCGCTTCATTATGGTGTCGGAGGACTACCCAATTAATAGTTTGCAACAGAGTAGCGTATTTTTTTAATAAAGCCAAAAGACGCAACTGCTCGAAACCGAAACCGAAACCCGACGGAGGTCGGGGAAGTGAAGAGAAGAGAGTGAGTGGCGGAAATCACGTGGCTACACCCAACCGTGCGGTTTTTTTGTTTTTTTTTTTCTCCTTTCCGTAGCAGACGACATGCGGCTTACGGGAACTGTTCGCCGTGCGATTCGTTTGCAGTTATGTTTGTTCCGCTCGTTGTTCTGTACTCCAAGATGAGTTGTTTTGTACATTGAGGAGTTGGAGATGAGTAGTGGGTGCCCGTGGTGAATTTCCACGATCGGCTCCGAAAAGAATACACCCAAGATGTTGCGTGAAGAGCTGGCTCACATGTCCTGCGTCCGAAAAAAAAAAGGGCATTGTGCGACAGAGTTTTCGAAAGATCGACGGGATCGGGACCAATGGCTGGCTGCAATTCCTGTAGAACATATACGGGCACCTCGGAAAGCGGACGCTACCTGATTTATATGCTCCTTGCATTTTGTGGAAAGTGATTCGAGTTCGGAGGTGTCAAAAAGGAAATCCCATACCATTTAATTCAGCGACGTGTCGTCCGCAACATTGTTTGTTTCTTCAGTGATAACTGTAAAAAAAAAATGTAAACGTCAAAAAATGTTTGAAAAAAAAAAAGGTTTCACAGGGGGTCGAACTCGGTCCTACCGCATGTGAAGCGGACGTCTTTCCCACTGAGCTACTGGGCCATCTCTCTACCAGGGGATCTCTTTCCTTTATAGTATTTCAGCCGGTAAACTAAGTTGGAAAGTTTGCTGCCGATTTTCTTCCAGCAAAAGCACTCCCAGGTCGAAGTCGGGAAGCACCACGCTTTGAGGACATTCGCACCTAGTAAAGAAACCGTACACGTGCATATTCAACTCAAAGTAGACCCGTCGTGCTTGACGTTTGCACGAGCGATGTCTTCAGCCACGAGAAGGGAGCAACGGCTCGGCGACGTCTTCGTGCAAATCGGCTTGGTGGTCGGGCGTGTCGTACGGGATGAATCCCAATTCTTTTGATCGGTCCAAAATTTCTCTTTAAAAGGCAGACAGAATTTGCCGGTACCGCGAACAACAGTTCTGAAATAGAGGTCCCACGCCCGTCGTCCGCTGCCATCGCCGTCCCCGCGAGTCCCACAATACGCGAAACGACGCACGCACAGAATGCTTCCGGTTGTCTGTGGAACTTTTTTTTCAATCAACGTATTTGCAGTTTTTTAGAAGCCACAAAAAAATGGGTTTCATATTTTTTCTATTTTTAATATTGAGTGTGTGCCTTCAGTGACCAACGACTTTGATTAAATTTGGTGGTCGCATCGATACCTTAGAAAACGGCCCGTGACCACGGAAAAGAGAGTGAGCGAGACTCGAACCGGCCAGTTCTTGGTCGGCGGTTTTCGGGCGGAAAGAAACCGAATTTCGAGTCGCAAATTGTGTTCTGGGTAGTTGGGCTCTCATATGTCACGTACAACTAAAAACCTCGGCGAGCATAAACACCCTGTCAGTGTCCCTTTAATATACGGTAAAACGTCATTATAACAAAGTTAAAGGTGCGATCGTAATTATTTCGTTATAACCATTAGTTTGTTATAGCCAATGTCCATTTCTTTCCACTATTAGCAAGCAAGGGGAATTATGATTGCTTCGTTATATCCATTAGTTTGTTATATCCCATTTTGTTATAACGAGGTTTTACTGTACGCCAAGAAGCGGGAAACCATCGTCCGCAAGATCCGCGCCTAGCTCTTTCCTAGCTTACTGCGCAGAAATACACCAGTATTGAGCATTGCATAAAAAGAAAGCCGACGGGCGCTCGTACAACTCCCTCGTTGCTGCAAAACTATTCTTCTGTCCGCTTTCTTTTTCCACTCTCTCATGGGTCCCTTTCTCGTCCTTTCTCTCGAGACCACGGACGAGGGCGCTCAAGACTGGCCACATTGTGCCCCCTCTTCACCTCCTGGCGGGACGCGAGGCTGCAGTCGCCGTGCAATGCCGGCCGTCGAGACGTCCGTACGGGCCCCGCACGAGCGCCGGCTGCGAGGACCTTGCTGGGGCTCCGTGTCGGGCTCTCTTCTCTCCCGGAAACCGTTGGCCGTGAGCCACTTGCAACGCGTATCCTCCCTGTCTCTTGAACGCGGACGACGCCAACACGTGACGTCAAGGCGGTAATTCACAGTTTGAAAGCGTCGTCGTTAACGACGCCGTAGAACTTCTAAAACGTAGTTTGAAGATCGTAAAAACGCAGAGAATGTGACGATAGAGAGAAACACTCTGACGCATCGTTGCCAGAAGCGAATCGACCCTGTCAGCTAACAGCCGTCGTGTTTCTTCATGCCAGTCTCTCGGCAGCAGTTTCCTACGGCTTCTGCTCTTCCTGGGGTCGTTTTATTTTGGTTCTTCATCCACCAGCGTCGAAAGGCAATATTGTTTTCTGCATTTGCTTCCCGAACCGTGGCAAGTGTCATCGATGATCTTGTGACAACCATCAATGTAATCAGCCTACTGCGCTCTGTGATTTGGCAAAGTTGGTAAGATCTAATGGCGAGGCCAAGTTGATCAAATAGAAGTGCGGAGTTGCGCTATGAAGACACGCGCTCATGCGTATGGCTTCGTTTGCACTTGCAGTAAAACGGAGTGTGGTCTGCGTGCTTATGAATTGAGCAATGCCACGGTGAGTGCACTTTGCCAATGGGAGACGGGCTGAAAAAGGGCTGAAATGTCGTGCAGATGCCACGAGCCCCATCGAAGCTGAACCGGCGTAGTAAGCAGGCGACCTCTTTGGTGCGTCCTAGCGACTCGCGGAGTGCCAGGACACATGGCACGCTTTTGGCACCAGATTGGCTGGGATAGCTCGTGGCAATGGCCACGGTCACTCTAGTTCTGAAAGCGAGTCCGGCTCGTTGTAGCAGCGCATAGCGGCATCGATACGTCGTACAGCCGTCGCCTCTCGTTGGTTTACTTTTTTTGGCAGAAATGGCGCATAGACCACTTTAATGACGGTGGAGAAATCTCGCCATTCCGCAGTAAAACCCATCTCGGTCAGACCTGGTGTTGGGCTAACGGCGCGTGCCACGAGCTGTTGTTCCACTTGCATACTTGCCAACCTGGGGACTTTCAAATTTGTAAAACTCCCGTGGCCGCCAAGGGGGGAGGGGGAAAGGGGTGTTTAAGCGAAGCGACGTGCAGCTTAAAGTTAGCCTTGCCACCGTGCAAAACGCCCACATCTCACGCGCACGTGCTACACAATCCAAACTTCTCTCCCTTGTTATACGGCACGAAGCACGGGAATTCCGACGTGTGGGACTTCAGAAACACCTGAAAGTACCTCTTTTGAGGTTTGGAGTTTGCCATTGCGCCGCAAAGCCACCGCGACCAGGGGAATCCTACGACTACCTGTGCAACAAACACAGAAGCTGCACTTCTCGCCTCAAAACTGGTCGAAACAGAGAGGCCCCAACCACGTCTGAACACGCCGAACCAACGTGTGCCGCCGAACACACGAACAAAGGCTTTGGGTTGGTTTTGGATCTGTGGCCGCCGGATAGACGGATAGTAAAAACCACGATGCTGCCATGGCAGGTACCTATCGCCCTCTTGTGGCGGTGCAAGACACCGCCAGCAACAATTGTACAAAAAAAAATATAGATATATTTTTTATATAATTTGTTTTTCTGTAACATTTGAAGCAAGATTTGTAAAATCGTAAAAGTAGTCCTAATTCATACATTTGACGCAAAATTCGGAAGAGTTGGCAGGTATGCCCTTGTGTGGCTGAGCTTGGGGTCACAGAAAGAAGACGTGCCGATTCGCCGAGCAATGCTCCTTACGAAAGTGCCGGCAGCAAGGTGATGAGCATTGCCGTGGCATCGCTATCATTGCGACTGCAGGCACCACGTGCAATTGGCTCAATTCTGTGGCGCGGCACAGCACAAATCGTCCACCAACCCACTTGCTGGCTGGAAGAGAAATCTCGTCATTCTCCGGCAAAACCGGGCCGTGCAGCGGCCGACGTCGGGCAAACAGTGTGCTGCGGGCTGCCGGTCCGCTAGCAGGGTTGTGCCTTTAGACGCTCCGTTAAATACGACGAAGGCACGATAACGCTAGACAGGTTTTCGACGAGTGGCGCTCTCTATTGGAATCGTACCCGACGCAACACGTGGCGAAGGACTCGAGAATGTACAAAAAAAACTTTATTCCCTCGCACGGTCACTTTGCCGGAAGAATAATCGAATGCGACACATGCTCCGCCGTACGCTCACAACCGTGAAACGCCTTTGTGCCTACCCGATCATTGTACTCGTACCAAGTTCCTACCCTAGTAGGCAACCCTGTTCCTATGCGGCGGAGGGGGCTGGGAAAGGAGCGTTAGCGCACCCTTCACCCCCCTCCCCCACTTTGTGCGGCGCCACGACGTCTAACTGGAAGCCGGAATCCGCCGCTCTTTCCCGCGAGCTTGCTGCGGCCCAACCCGCTTGAGCGAGGCCGGGTTCCCTAGTCCCTGGGAGGGGCCCACCTCGTTGGCCTCCACGGCCCTGTCGAGAGCCTGGCCCCGCTGCAGCAGGCCCCGCTCCCCGAGCAGGCCGCGCTGGTGCTCGATCCGCTGGGCCTCCTTCTCCGTCATCCGGGCCAGGAGCGTCGGGCTCGGCTTCCCTATCACCTGCGGGCATCCACCAAACCGCCCCTTCCGTACCGCCGTCTCGTCGGGCAAACCGTGGGAGAGAAAAGCCCTTTTCTGCACATCTACCCATCCGTGGAGGCCGCAACATTGTCTTCTCGCGGTTAACCGGCGTGGCATTCTAACGGATAACACTGCACAAATAACGACCGGAGTTACCGGGGCTGCACGGTCCTAATGGGTTAAAAATATTTGTTGCGTTTCCTTTTCGATGACGGTCGGATTTCGAACAATTCCGTACGCTGCACCCTTCGCAACCCGGTGAAATGCCGTACGCAATCGAAAGCAAAATTTCCCTCCCTTTTTCTACATATTACGGCTACTTCGTAATATGTAGCCGTAATACGTGGCCCTCCCGGTCTGCACGTCGCTGCACCAAAGTGGCGGTTCTCAAACGGGGGTCCGCGGACCGGTCCAGACAGGCAATGGGGGGTCCTCCAAGCCCCGCCTCCTCGGCCAAGCCGGGCATTAAAAGTGGTCTCTTTTCAGGTTGAGTAGCGTTCCAATTTTCAGGTTGTGTATGTCAATGAGAGAAGTCTACTTCTCACTGTCCCTTATTATATCCATTTATTATATTGTTCTCGTAATTAAGCCTTTCCCTTGCCCTCACCACTAACAGGTTCATCTCTGCCGATCCACAAGAGGTCTGTGAAACATCAATGGTTGAGAACCGCAGCACTAAAGCGACGCAAAGTCTCCTCCCCGTGGGGTCGAGACATTGCGGATGAAACCGTAATGGGGTGCCAGTGAAGCGGGTGTAAGGGGGGCTATAAGGCCAAGCTGCAGGTTTCGAACGTCTCTGCCAAACACTCGCGCTTCTGCAGTGCAGGCATCGTTCGGAGCGGTGTGCTTGCGCTTCGCTCGCACAACTATAGTAGACCGGGCGTGTCTGCGGAGACTGTTAGAATTGGGTTAGAATTTCTGTCGCGGCAATCGTTGGCCAAGAACACAAATCGGAACATTCGCCGACGGATCGATCGCCAACGCGCACAGACGTGAGCTCAATTCAGCCGACACGCTTTGGCACTGCGGATGCATCTCGGGGAAAAGGCAGAGAGCTTTCGCAGGAGATAAGATAAATAGTCCGCTCAGAGTTTCAAAATTTCGTACCGGAAAAGAGGCTTCTTATTCCCGTGGGCTAGTTTTCTTTCGACCCACTAAACAGTTTGCGGTTAGGAAATTTCGAAACCAGTCATTTTACGCTTCAGAAACTAAACCACCTTAAAAGCCAACAAAGGGTTCACATTTGACCTAGCACCGGCATTGATGGCTATTTTGCTGACGTAACGGGTCGTTTTGTTTTCCCTTACTTTCTGCGTAATGATAACAGAGGGCAGAGAAGGCCCTGAAGCAGGGCACACGCTCATCAACACTTCCAAATCTAGGAGCCCAGAGTGACCCGGGCACAAAGCTATCGGTAGGACGCACGGAGACGAGCGTGAGGAGGCCTCCACTCACGCAGACAGCCTTGTTCTGGAGCACATACTTCTTCAGGAGGTCCACCCAAAACTGCTTGCTGCATCCCAGGAGGGCCTCGAAGGTGGGAATCTGGCACGCCCGGATCCGGAGCTGGGATGCCCGAAGGAAGGTTTCCATTACCGCTCGGAAGAGCGGCCAATTTTCCCTCGGGCGGCAGAGGGATTCCTCCTCGCTCGCTAAGAGACATCCCTTTAGCTCAGCTTTGCAAATTCCTTCTGCTGCACCATCGAAGCGACACGAGCAACGACACTTTGGAATCGTACATTCTGTGCCCAAAGTTGGTGCTGCCTATATTAAATAAATCCTGTTCACAACCTACAATACCTCGCCTGCTGTACATCGTAGCACCTTCCAAATTTAACGCGGAATGTATTTTATCAGCCGATTTTCGTGGCATTCCGTATCGTGTGGCTGTGATGGCCGGCTGTAGAGAACAACCGACAGGGAAAAGAATTACGCCCATAGGAAAGCACGTAAAAAGACTTCAGTCCCCTGGCAGGATTTCGACTCGCCGACTCGCCACCTCGAAATCGTGAGCCTTTGCCGACCGAGCCACGCAGGGTCGGTGGTACGGACAACACAAAAGCGAGCTCATTCGCACGAACGAGCGTTTTCGCTTTGTGGCCTTTCCTGTCATGCAGCACCATCTCACAGCGCGCTGGAAAGGGAAGCGAATCTTCAGTAGGCAATGCTGTTCAGACGCCCCTCTCTTCTTCCCTGGAAGGCCTATCGCACACTCTGCGCTTACCAGTCCTCGTCAGCATGGTCGAGCTTGCATAATTTTGTTTCTTACGGGCACGGCATAGACTCCCTTTTAACAAAATTAGGAACACGCGTAAATAGTCGGCGTGCGGCCAAACGAACTGGAGTCCCAGCTGTATGCTGACCCAGCACTCTGTGCGTGTTCTGCACTGGTCTCCGGGAGCCAACGTGGCAGATGTACGGCCTCTTTAGCACCTGGGAGGAGTTGACCGACCCCAGCCCTCCTCACCTTCCGACCCCGTCATATCTTCGAAACCCCATTCTTGTCCGTTCTCGGAGGATTCTGGTTGCCACAAACTCGTTAAAAGGCTGTACGTCGCGGAAAACCACATCCAGACGCAACATGCTGCGGCCACGCAACACACGGTTCTCACATCAAACTCTGACGGGATGTCGTGGACTGGCGTAGAGCGGGGGTCGGCAACCAGCGAGGCAATGCCAAGCGGCCCCCGGCACGCTGTGGCGAACCCCCTCCTCAACGCACGTACGAACGCTGCGCGATTGCTTGCACGAGAAATGAGGTCGGCTGCGATCTCGGTCTAATCGGGCGTGTGAACCCTTTGACCGGCAATTTCCAGAAAAGCGCGCCAAATTTCTCAGTTTTTTATGTACCGTAATATCTCGAGATGCCCCACCCCCTATTTTTAGCTCGACTCGCTTTTTTTCTCTTAAACACCAAAACGGTCCTAGTAATGACGACCTCGGAGTAAATGCGGCCAGGTAGCTACGGCGGTATATAAGCCAACATTGCTAACCGGGAAGTACAATCCCCTTTGCTTCAGTGTCCTTCGCCGCGATAACAAGTTTGGCGAGAAAACGTGACCTAAAAATAGCGTTTTTTCAACTTTTCTCGGTTGTGCAGCAAAAGGTAGCCCGCTCCTCATTTTCACCCGATTTTAGGTGGGCGACCTCTCGGGACATTACGGTAGTCATTTTTTGTTTAGGGGCAAAGCTCCTTAGGGTTGAGCCTTGTCCATCCGGCGTCCGTGCTCACATCAATCTCGCTGGTGCTCGTGAGCTCACGTGCTCGTGTAGGAAAAAAAAATGATGAAAAAAAATGTTTTCGCAGTCGACAGGATTCGAACCTGTCCGGAGAGACCCCAATGGGTTTCTAGTCCATCGCCTTAACCACTCGGCCACGACTGCGGGACGAGTAGGGGGCTCTGAGGTGTGGAAGTAACTGAAGAGCTGGGGATGTCATGGATGAAACGTTGCATGTAGCCGCTCAACGTCTATACAGGAGAGGGCGCTGCGGTCAAGTGCGTATATAATCGCGTTAAAGTTTCCATGCATTGGCTCAATGTTTATAGACGAGAGGGCACTGCGGTCAAATGCTCAAATGCGTATATAAGCACGTTCCATAGCCCACATTCTCTTTCTGTCATGAATGAAAACGAACGAAAGGCTCGGCACGCTGCGGCTCAGCGTCTATGCACAGAAGCACCACCAGAGCTTCGCCCCAATCAACATCATTCACTACGTGGAGATGCGGTCATTTTTTTTTTTTTCAGGTCTTTTCGATTATAAAGACATTTTACTCGACTGGTTTCTCGGCAATATCTTTGTTCCCAGTGTCCCGTTTGTTTAGAATATTTCCAGTCTTAAAGAAACACCCTGTATACGATATAATAATAGATGAGCGCCACCAAATAGCTCCACCCTCGCTTAGCAGCCTTAATGTGAATGTTTGTTTATTTGCGAGAAAAACTAAATTCTAACAATTTAATATGGTCGACCAATCCTATACTATTGCTTTAAACTGTTTTATTTTTGTATCTTTTATTTCCAGGTTCTTTGACTTTTTGTCCGGCCCTTTCCGACTCTGCTGGTTGGGCCAGCTGCAGCCAAACAAACCCTCGTCGGACCTACCTTGCTAAGTCTACAGCTGCGCAGAAAATCTGGCCACGTGCTTCTTACAAACACCGACCGATGAATGCATCCGACACATAGAGGCTGCTTCACCAAACACCGGCAACAATTTTTGTCTCAAGTGCCCAGCCTGACTTCACTGGAAACTAGGGTAATGTAGACATGGGCGCTTGTCCGGTCAAATGGGGCGCTAACGCGTCGTGTGCACAATTCCCAAGTTTGGGAAATGCTAATAGTGGGCGCTTCAAAGGAGTGGGCACTTCCGCGGTATTTTACGGTACGCATCTCGCAGAAAGAAGATTGGTGCAGCATTAGTCAAAGGGCCTATTTACTGAGGTACTATGTAGCATTTAGGATAAGTTTTTAATTACATTCGTGCAACTCACTTTCTATACAGTGAAACTAAACACAAAGTTCCAGTTAAAATCTTGCTGAAGATAGTTCAAAACCACGAAATCAGTCATGGTATATTTTATATCGTATAATTTTCTAGTTCAATTTTGACTTATGTGAAGCCCCCTTGGGCGTTTGAAATGACACTACCACCCCACAATTTCTCTCTTTGTTAGACAATGTAATATGGAGTCAGAACACTACCCAATCAAGATTTCCCTACAGCGTCACATATATTTTTAATAAAGTCAAAAAGCAAAACTGCTCGAAACCGAAACTGGACTGGGAAGAAATGTAGAGAGACTTGCAGGAAGTCACGTGGTTACATCCGACCATGTTTTCTTTTTTCCCTTCATTTTCCTGGCTAAGCAAAGCAGACGAAAAACGCATGTCTCAAGCCCTTCATGCTTGACATTTGCGCATTTTTTTAGGCTCTTCCCAATTTGTGTTTGTAAGATGAGCGATGCCTTCAGCCACGGGAAGGAGCAACGACCCGGCGCCGTCTTTGCGTAAGCCAGCCAGGTGGTCGGGCGTGTCGTACGGAATAAATCCCAATTGTTTTAATCGGTAAACGATTTCTCTTTGGAAGCTCGACAGATTTGCCGGTACTGCGAACAACGGTTCTGAAGTAGAGGTCCCACGCCAGTCGTCCACTTTCATTCAACCATCCAGCCCGCGACTCCCGCGATACGACGACATGTTGAGAGTTACAAAGAGAATGCACAAAGTGCTTCCGGTTCTCTATGCAACTTTTTTTTTTATTCAGGGTATTTGCAGCTTCTTAAGAGCCACAAGAAATAGCTATCATATTTTTTCTGTTTTTAATATTGAGTGCATGCCTTAGATGGCCCACGACTTTGATTCTATTTGGGGCATGTGTCTAAACCATGGAGAATGGCACGTGACCACGAAGACGACAGCGAGTGCGACTCAAACCGGCCAGTTCTCCATCGGCGTGAAGAAACCGCCGCAAATTGCGTTCAGGGTAGCCGGGCCCTCATTGGTCGTGTTCAAATAAAAACCTTGGCGAGCGTAAATACTTTAGGAGTCAAATAAATGAAAAGTGAAATATTAGAAAGGTCTGGAGAGCATGCTTTGTTTTTTCTTCGAGGCGAGGTTATCTTATTCCTCAGATCTTCACTTGGATAGCAGGAACTTTCGCACATGCTTCCCACACGCTCAAGAGTCTTTTGAAAACTTGGAGGTCTATTGGCTCTCGACGACGCTCGTCAGGTTTCTAATTAGAACCGTAGGTTTCTTTCGACGAACAAAGTTAATTTTGCGATAACTATTCTTAACCCCAAAAGCCTTTTTTTTAAATAATTTACCGCATGATTGCACAGGATACTTGCGCATCAACCTCAAAATCTGCAGCCTGGAAAGAATGTTATTGCGGAAAAAAAAATATTTTCAGAAAGTGGAATTTCCGCGTTCCTCGGTGACATTGAGAGTGGTCCGGCGCTTCGGACTATTTTTTTCTGCCGCCCTCCAAGCGGAAGTGTCGTCGTCCATCGGGCTCTTAAATTTCGCGACGGCAACGCTTGCGTAAGCGGACAACTCGAGACTGCTCTATGCGTCTTTCGAAGGCGGTTTCAATCGAAGGTGCGGCAGACTCTACTCGAGGTGAGAGGTCGGCGCTGCGTCGAGGACGGCACTGGCACATCCGAAAGTGCCACTCTACGCGAAAGTGCAACTCTACCGGTCCGTGGCGTCGAGGCGCCACAAACTCGAAGCAGGTGAAAGTTGCGAAGACGTCCTCGTCGGGATCTTCCGGCACTCGATCGGGCGTCTCGTACGGGACCGGACTCTACCTCCGCCGACGTTCGACTCATTCCTTTACAAGGTTCTAAAGGTCGTCCGGTACCGAAAACGACGCCCCATCTACCGAGCCACCACCAACGTCGCACTCTCACGCGGTACGACCATCAGGAGCCACCATTTTGAGAGATGGAAGCAAAGACGGCAAAGAGACGACGGGAGATGTCGTCGCAAAGAAGCCACTTCCAGAATTTCCTTTTTACATTTCAAGACCAGCGTCGTCCTGCGCGAGTCATATTCGTACAAAA